GAATAACGCAGTCAAACAGTTGCTGTTCGAATTGCATGAAATATGCAAAAAGCATGACATATTCAAGAACAATGTTTCCAATTTTGGAAATATGAGATTTCCAAAAATGTACAATTTTGGAAATGTCCACAAAGGGAGATAACTGGTGGGTGATGGTAAATTATTGTTCTTTGCACGCCCCAGGACCTAATCCCTTGTTGATTGATGAGTGAGTCAATGCAGTTAAGAGTCACCAATTAACAAGGCCTACTGCCTTGGCCTTATGCCTCTTAAAGAAGTCTCTGGAAGTAAGTTAAATCTTTGATGGGCATTAAGAAGTGGAATGCATTACTGTGACCTGATTTTCACCTGATGAAGGAGCAAGCATATGCTCCGAAACTTCGTGTTATTCACAATAAAGAAGTAGAATCCATAAATCTTGTTTTTCTTATTAAAAAGGTAAGTTATTAAAATCTGCTGAGCTGTAGGTTTGTTAATCATGTCGCGATGTGATTATCGCTCTAACACACCTGAGAGATTCGTCAACAGTGTGGTATGCACAGGCGGTGAAAATTGTATTGTATTACATTGGGTTGGTTGCATATTGTTAACATTATTCCATGGTCAATATCGCAATGTTTCTGAAATGGTAGTATACGGAAGTTTGTTTATAGAGTGATTCTTATCAAATTAGATATTTCTTTATCGTCCGAACAGAATTGTTTTGGATGTTTTGTGTGTGTGTGTGTGCATGCACGCGTGTATAACATCTATAACTTGATAGGTATTAATTAAAATCAGGCCGATTGTAACCATAATGACTATATTGGATGGAACACTCCAAGAACAAAAATAATTTCACTCTTCAAAAGGAACTGGAACAGTAACATTTTTCATGTTTTCATATGAGCTTCAAAACATTGAATGACATAAATGCTGTATGATGAAATGGATCAGAGATCATTAGAATGGCATACGTGACGTGTGAATGACACGTGTAATGGTCAAAAATATATAATCACTATGTTAGTTGACTCATGTCCAGACACGTCAAACTGGTACTGATAGATTTATATCTAATATGTAAAAATTCAGTATTTCTTAGTACCTGAAATAGAAAACACGACTTTGGAATGAGATGTCTTAATCTGAGATTAATCTGTTAGGTAGCAGTTTACTTAAGTAGAACTTAAATCAACTTCAAAAGATTGGTCATTCGCAAAGTGAAGCAGATTTCACTTATACTGCAGTAAACAGTATGGGGATACACAACGAAACATACCACTTATGTGATAACAACTCCCTGTTTATTGCATAGAGCGGCATGTCGATGTACAACGTTCAGGATAGACAAGCTGATTGAATGTTGATTGATTCCATCACTTGGAAAAAGGAGTGGATTTAGACTTGTTGATCTTACTCTCCTCATGCCCCCAACTATGTGCTACTTGCTGAATCACCTGGTGTTAATTTGCTGCTAGTCACTATGCATATATACTTCTGTTCACCTGGTAACTGTTATCTTGATAACGGTGTGAGAATATACATGGAAACTCCCCCTCTATCGACCTTTGGTCCAAACAGATGAGCTAAGAGAAATGTTGATGTCCCGTCCGCTAGCAAATTAACATTGGATTATAGAGACAATGATAGGCCTACGTGTTGATAGAAGAGGATATTCCGGATTATGCGAATGAGAGCACACCTAATGAGAAAACGAGCCAAATATATGTATAAAGATAGTGTTTCATTTCAGTCTCAGCATATAAACATTGAAATATAAAACACATAAAAAACATAGAAGGCGTAAGCCACGAGTGGTAACGGGAGACTATATGGACAGATTTTATTTAATCATGTTACAACATGCTACATATTACAGGAATTTTTAATAAATAGTTATATTACATCATATTATGAAATGTTTCAAAATATTACATAATTATAAATATACATACACATTTATAAGTACATTATAAATATATTAAAGATGTGAAAGAAGAGACGCTGAATCAGCAAACTGTCTAACAGTTAACATTCCATTTTATTTTGAAACTGGTGTCTCAGTTCTTGAAGATGTCGTTCAAGGTATCGGTATTTCTTCGTCGTGGGTTGTCTTTGGCCTTCGGCATATTGCACCAACGAGGTGTAGGAATAAACTTATGTTCAAGTTGAGCATTAGCCATTTCGAAATCGAATGTACACTTTCATGCTTCTTCTCATTATACATCCCAATGTAATTAGAGGGGAACTGATCCAGAGCGATTAATGTTTCTCGCCAACAGTCTAATTACCAAACCAAACTGCAAGCTTGTCGTTATCTGCTCCTTCGACCGTGACGGACACAGGGACTGGGCTTCTGGCCACCTTGACAAAATTTCTTCAACCCAAACAGCGGGACATTAGGAAGGGTGGATGCTCATCAGATGCTGTTACATGTATTTGAGAATACCCCCAGTAGTTCCTGTCTGATTGCAATAAAGTATACCAGCAGTGTATGTGCTTTTCGGATTTTTTAATGCATAGATGGCATAGTGACTGATTCAATTTTTCAATTTGATTTTATTTCTGCGTTTTTTTTACCTCGATATTTAATCATGCCATGTAAACATATGATGTCTATTACATATTCTATTTATGACAAATGAAAATGTACTTAGGTATATACAATTTTAACTTCAGTACACATCCAATGCTTATATGTATTTCTTATGCAACAATGAAATTCCGTTCGTATCCTCCAAACAGTGTCGGCCCATAACTTTTTTCGGGCAATTAACATTGCATGCAATTCAGCGATTACTATCCCCTTTGCTGTAACCAGCTGAGTGTTTGGTGGTATAAACCTACACATGTTATTTGTCATCATTCACTTGATGGTCAATTATTGCATTTATAACAGGTATGATGGTAATACCACTCAGGTTACCCGCCAGAGGTTCCCATTTCGCATTTCTTGTGTCTGGAGTAAATACATGTACTCAGCATTATGAATTGATGGTCTGATGTGACAAATGTATTACATGTTATGTAATATGCTCATGGAACTGCAGCAAGACGAATTATCAGCTGAGATACAAAACAAACATTGATCAAAGGATTAACCGATAACACGCTGATTGATTAATTACTTTTTTCTTGCACAGTGGATTTGTCAAAAGGTAATGTTTATGTATGTAGATTTACTAATCTATACTGATTACACCCTGTCCTGTACCCTGTACCTGTGTAAAAACAACATCTTTCCTTCAATGTATTAACCGCCAGTAAGTTGATGGGGGTGTTCCTCTTTTGCCAGTCGGGCAAGTTGTTTATTTAAGGCGTAAGAGGATCACCAGACCATGTTAATTAGCAAGACAATGGTACGGGTGGGTGGGGAGTGTTGGGGAGGACATGACCAAGCCAAGAAAAACACAAGTGGATTTAATACTGATTATTGGCTAATTAGATTACCTTTTTAAAGAATGGCGGACATCATGCAAGTAGTTGACCAATGAGATTATACACCAATGTGAAAACTGAATCGATGTATCTCTTTTTCGGGTATTAGACTGTTAAAAGACACTTGGCATGGAACGGGATTCTTTGTCAGCTGCAGATCAATGGCATATTGTTCCTTTATGTGGAGGTAGTGTCCCATTTTTGACAGCGTCTTGGTCACTAATTCGCGAGGTTTCGCTCTCAAACCTGGGATAACTAGCTGCACCAATTAAGGGTAGTTATGTTAATGCAATCACCTGAGAGAAGTACAGAACAAGTAAAATTCTTCAACACTAATACAAACTAATACGAGACGAACTGCCAGCAGGAATGGTACCATTATATGGAGATATCAGTGCCTGAAAACAGCCTCAGTCACTACAATAGCAGATGGGACTGTTGTCAGAAGAGGGGACAAACAGCATACACATCCAGACCAAAGCTCTATTGGCTCCTATATCCAAATTTGAGGCTGTCAAAATCGGGACTTAACCCATGTGGATATTGATGGATACATTCCTCGAACAAGGTAATAACCTGACATTGTTGCAGACTTAAGTTGGTTTTATTTCTAATATTTGCATTTTGTTTTTATTCATTTGTGGTAGCATTCAACAGAATCATTTGTTTTCGCCGTAATGAGACAGACAACATATACTAGGTCATACCTAGGGTGTGTGTGAAATATGATTCTTGTTGGCATTCTATAAAATGTCTAGATATTACAGTCATGTTATAAATACGCTATAAGTATAATCGTATGCTTTTTTATTAAGTTTCAAAATGCATGCCAAATATGGCAATATAATAATTAGGATTATAAGACAAAATATATAGACATACATTGACTTCGTTTTTTTTCAGTCCTGACATTTTTTACCACTGGCAGATGATTAAACTTCAAAGTGTTTTCATTTCATTTTCCAAATGATGGAAATATTATCGAGTAAAAAAAGATTTTATTTTTGTTGATCATTCTACACCTATACGATCAATTGCACATGCGGGTTGCGCAGCAAAGGTCACGAACCAATCGAAAGTACTGGGATATCATCCGGGTACTCAGGGGAGAAAAGCAATAACAAAAGCAACAACCAGTGCGCGGAAATTGCTCTGGATCAGTGCCTTGTTAAATGTGTTTACCATATGATTGTTTTGATCATGTTTTTACACGGTCGGCTTCAGTGTGCGATGTGTTCACTTCCATCAACCACCAGCTTGTAATAATACGTCACATGAGATTAGCCATGTGCTAAAATAACACCCAAACTTTAAAGCGTACCCCTTGTCAATGTCGTGAGCCTTATAAGAATCGAAAGGTCGGCTTCCTGAGTCGACATCTCAAACTATGGTATGTAAGTGGTAATAATTCCCGAGCATTAGAGAACAGATTGACTTGTTTGGAATTTAACACAGCAAAAATAACTCGGTTTCCGCAATGCGGAAACCTGGTAGAAAGTGGACTGAAACTTAAGTTTCCACCTAGAATCCAGTGAGTTTCCGTTCTTTTACATTGAGTTTCCGCAATAACGGAAACTTACAATTACCCACTTTCCAAGGGTTTCCGCAAGGTTTCCGTTACCCACACTCCAACAGGTTTCCGCAAGGTATCCGTTACCCACACTCCAAGAAGTTTCCGTTGAGTTTCAGTTAACTTTGAATCCATCAGGTTTCCGCAAGGTTTCAGTTATTAAGACTCCAACAGGTTTCCGCATAGTTTCAGTTACCAACAATCCGACATAGTTTCCGCATAGTTTCAGTTCCCAGCAATCCGACATAGTTTCCGCATAGTTTCAGTTACCAACAATCCGACAAGGTTTCCGCATAGTTTCAGTTACCGGTTTCAATTTCAGGTTCACGGGTTTTCATATGCGTTTCAAAGAGCTAAATGTAAACATTCTTCTTTATTTATATCATAAACTCTTGTTCAAAACAATATAAGCAATTTGTTATTATCATGACATTTACTAAAAGAAAAACAGAATATATAATAAGATTCATTGTTTTATTTTCTCAACATTGTATGGATTAGCATTTAAGGCAAATAAAGATCATACATATAACTAGTAATATAGCACTAAAGAACAGGGCAAAACATGTTGGCATAACTCAATCCAGTTTTAGAAATCATATATCATTTATAACAAAGTTGTAATTTTTCATCAGTTAAACTTTCATTCACTTATTATCTTGAAATAGCATGTTAGATACGAAATTTATTTCTAAAATCAGGCTAATGATGAAAAATAACAATAACATACAACTTAACACAGTGATAAAACATAGTTGCATAGGACATTTATTTGCACGCCTTGGCATTCAGCCACACACTCTATGTCACAACTATCGCCAAACATCCACTATGATATACAATAACAACATACAGCTTACAATACAAAAATAAAATAAAAATTACATTATGAAATTGAAAATAAATTCAATTAAATTGCAAGAGCTGGTCAGTGGGCCCTGTAAGGGGCATCCCTGGGCGGAGATCCCTCTGTTACTTTGGTTGGATGCCTCATCCTCGTCCTCCTGTTGGCCTTGACGAGAGCAGTGGAGGTGTAGATTCTTTCCAAGTCCAGTGTCGTCGTGTATGCCATAAGCTTGCTGGACTCACAGACAAAGGGGACGGAATGCAACTAATTGACGTCATCTTCGTCACTCACGACTGGTGATGTCATGTCTATGGTGAGTGTTGTCGCTACCTTTTTCTATCGTCTATCTGGCCAATCAATAGATGCAAGTCTGTTTGGGCGTTGTGCAAGTTTCTGAAAATGGCAGGTTATAACGAATTACTAGGTTATTTTGATGAATTACACAAACATCAATCAACAAGAAACTGACAATGCCAAGGATGATTTAAAATGAGTAATCCACAAGTAAGTTTGAATAAAAGAGAACTAAATTGAACAATCACACTTTGCACTAGTTTTCTCAAAACTCAAATTATGCAATTCATCACACTTCATTGACCGAATGTAATATCTTATTTTCTAAAGAGGACACAGAATCCATACAAACTTTGCTCTGGAGTTACATGCTTCCCAGACCAGAGGTAGTAATATGTTATATATAATATCTGAACATTTATTGCATTTTCTATGTAGTAATAATGGTACTAGTAATAGATTTTCATCAACGTTGTGGTGTCCACCTCCGTGATGTTGCTGGAATATTGCTAAAAGCGGCGTAAAACCAAACTCTGTCAGGCAGTTGTATTGTTGAAGGCACAAGTATATTCACCCAGTAGTGACTGTATGTTTACACCATTACGTCTTTGAGGTGTATTTAGAAGTGAATAATACAAGACGCGAATGTTTCCGGATGTCAAGGTCTTTATTATGTGAAAACACAATGTTTCGGAGTGAATGCTTACACCTGACGAAGGGGTAAGCATTCCTTCTGAAACATGTTTTCACATAATAAAGGAGTTGACATCCATAAACCTTGTCTCTACTCTATGAATTGGAAATAATTTACTACTTATAATGAAAGTCACTACAGATAGGTCAAAATTACCTTCACACATGTTTCAGCTGACCATCCTTGGTCATTCGTTATACAGTCTGCAGACTCATCATCAGCTGAAAAATAAACAATAACACGTTACTTTTCTTTGCATTTCTCCATTCATTCATTTGAGGTTTAACAAACCCCAAACAATTGCAGCGACATTTATACCAACAAGCAAACTACAGATTTATCACTTTAAGGTTATGCAATGAGTAAGTGAACGGCCTGACATAAACATCCTGATGAATGAAGTTCAGTTATCTCATGTGACATAACCTTGGAGTAATTACGGTATTGTAAAATCAAGGGGTCAGTTTTACTGCCATTTCACACAGGTGTGAAGTTTATTTGGTCCAATTTGAAATCATGATTAAGTTACCGGTTATTCAAATCCATTTGCAAATGTAACTTGAGTATGGTTCATTTTGTGAAAATGTATCTAGGGAAGCATAATAATAAAATATTCAAAGTGAAATTACGTCTATGTTTCATAGTACCATAAACACATACCTTCAGTTAGAGAGGGTGATCTTTTCTTCCAGGAGTGGTCGTGACACGTTTCCTCTCAACAGCCTAAATGGATAAAACAAATCAATTAATATACAATCTTTTTGCTATATTTTTCAAAATTGTAGTATATTTTCGATAGACACTTATTTTACTTCACCAACCTTTGAAAATAGTTCGTGCAAAACTGTTTATACAGTCAGGGGACTTAAATATACGTCAGTCGGCAAAATTCTCATAGACTTGCATGCTATTTTAGTGTAGCTATGTAATTTTCATTAATTCAGTTTTCCATATTTGGTTGTCAAATTATGCAGGCTGTTAGGAAATAATCTTGGTCACAGATACATAATTTTCCGCATTGTAGTTACATGAGCAACATATATACAACATTGCGTATTCTTTCCCCATAGACCGCCATGTTAACCATGACACGCATTGAATTGAAAATAAAACGGAAATTATGTCTTTGAAGCTGAGATGATTCAGAACCCATGTGCAAAATATGAACAATATCAAACGGATATCAAATAAATTCAAGACATATTTCTAGCTGCACCAAATTAACATGTAAGTCGAATAATGCATAGTGGCGAATACCTATGGCCACTGGCTGTAATTCGATAGATTAGCTTGATTACCAATCCGGATTATCTGTACGTAAAGTAAATAATTCATAAAACGTTATTTGACAACAAAACAAATTGGTCTTACCTGACAGGGTCGTGGTACTGCGAGTTTTTCGCAGCCATTTCCATCTTTCTTTCCAGGTAGCGAATTCTCTCTTTCAGTGCTTTGAGGAAAACTGAGGCGGCTTTGAAAATCGCGACTCGCAAGGCTCACGGGAAAACACTTTGTTGTTGTTTTCAATCTAAATCTAACATTACAGTTTGACAATATCTTTCCGCGTTATACAACAAAATAAACATACACTATACACATAAAATGTCAGCTGTGTGTTTTTATAATGATTTAGGTAGTCTCGCGTGGACGTGATCCGGTCGCCATTGTTTTATTTGTTTACATTGCCGACATCAAAGGGGACCGTGAAAGGTGGAAATGAGCAGATTGAATGTGAGTACCCAACAGTGGGCTTGTATGGGCTTAAGGGTCTTCTCATCGCATTATGGGCACTAATTGCTCCTCCTCAGTGTCAAGCATCAACATGTAGGCCTAGAGAAGTGAATAAATCTGAAAACATATTCACGTTACTTTAAAAGTCCTCATCGAGCTCCATGAGTCCTACTCATAAGAGATTGTGTTAGTGGCAAATAGGTGATTTTTCAAAACCCTGTCAGGAGTAGGCAATATACGTTCTGCTGGACGTAAAACTTCACCAGGTAAGTAATTTACCTATTGAGCTCAAAACATGCACATGTATTAGACATGCTTATATCATGTTCATTCTTTTCAGTTCTACACGTAGATCTACGTACATTCCCTGTATTATAACTTTACTTATCTAATTATATGTGATGTCAGCTCAATATATCTACGTGAGCGAGTTTAGTATTACGCCGCACTCGGCAATATTCCAGCTATATGGCGGTATTTATCCAATTATACCAGTACATCTTTTATCATTTTATTACCATTAAAACAATTATAACATATACTTTACACTCATAGCTTTGTGTAATAATTTAGGTAATCAATTATTGAACCTCTTAGCCTTACAATGCATTGACACAAGTCACGTATAACATTTCTAAAAGAATCATTGTTTCAATTATTTGATTTACAGATACGTATTGTGGATCCACTGACTTGTTGGAGATTGACAAGAGGCTTGGCTTGGTAATCATTTATAGTTACACCATACCATGCTCCTAATTTCATTAAAGGAAATCTTAAAACAATATTTTTTATTCATCAGCATTTAGTCAAAAACAAGTAAACACTAAATAGATACATAGAATAAAATTCTTTATCTTTGTGAAAAATATAATCACTCAAAATGTAACAGTGCGTGGATTCCAGTGTAACCATAAGTTTAACATATGTTATATATGGGATTACACTTTCATAAGTTAAGATATGTTGATATGTTTTTCAGTTCCAAGAAAAAGACCCAGTTTTCTGTCCGCACTGCCAGTCGTTTGTTTCAAGGAAACAAGGAATCCTCTGGAATGGACGGCAGTTTCTCATCAGGTTAGTCCAAAATACTTCACTTCATAGGTTTCATTTAACGACTTCAGTTTGATCTATCCCATTGCTATCCATCATATATCAATAATGAATATATTTAATTATTGTAATTTGTTTGATTGGCATTTAGAAGTTGGTGACTTATACCGTTGTCGAGCAAGAGTGTAATTATTGTATACCAGATATGTAACTGTAACTGAAAGTGAATAAGTTGTGCTACACATTTTACAGTTTTTAAATTAAATTAAAGGTCACATAAAAAAATAATATTTTATGTTACTATATTGCTGGGAATGTTTCCTTAGAGAGTTGATAAAACTAAGAAATACCCACGATTTTTCATTCATGGGAAATGTTAGGTTTTGTATGCTTTTCTCAGTTGAGTTGGTCATTTCAATTTGAATAAGATCACATATATAATTATGTGTTACATTCAGTGTTTAAACATAATTCGTATCTATTTAAAATATGTATGTACCGTTTTACATATGCTTCGATTTCAATTGGCGATTTGGTAGTAGATGTTACCTTGAATATGAGTACAGTAACAGTAATAAATATTACAACAATTTGCTTCAGAATACTGGGTTGGCTACTATTTTCTGGTACCAATCAATAAAATAAGTGACATGTCAAATGGAAGATACAATATACATGTATACTACATATCTTTCCTTTGTGATTGTGAAAAAAATATTTTGGTTACATATACAAATTAGTCGTTCTAATTATATAATTTCATTGTGATCAGATGTACCACTGTGCATGTTTATGAATATGTATAAATGTGTTACTTTGGCTGTTTTTGCAGTTTTACTAAGCATTGTATGTATTGTATTTGCAGGATGATGAAGAGTCTGTGTGGGATGATAAGGATGGCAACGATGTTGTGCCAGACATCAACCAGGACTCTTCATATTCACCCACAAATCTTAAGTAGAGCATACACCATCTGTTTGCGGTTGTGGACTGGTTCAAGCCTTGTTGTAATCAACTTGGTTATATTTCCCCTTTCTGTGTGGCAAAACTCAGGCTCAACTCAAGGCTCTGCGTCATATGTACCACATCAGAGGATTGTTGGCTGCTCAGTGTGAGTGCAACAGAAGCTTCATGGTTGTAAGCAAGTTGCCAAGTCTTTACTATGTGAGATTGTTAGTGTGTATATGTTAAGATACATTGAGACAGCTTCAAATGTACACTTCATGTATATGTATATGGGCCCATGACCTTCATACAATAAACATTTGAATTTGAATTTGAAATCTGTTTTATAAATACCACAGCAAATATGTTATGCCTGCACTAGTAGACCTCATTTCATCATATGCATAAAATGTTGTAGGGTTTTGACATATTTGTATTTGCATATTCATACAGAATTTGTTTTCTCCAATGCTGAAAATTCCCTTTTGATATGGGCATGCATGCATACATACATACATACATACATACATACATACATACATACATACATACATACATACATACATACATACATACATACATACATACATACATACATACATACATACATACATACATACATACAGACAGACAGACAGACAGACAGACAGACACACAGACACACACACACACATTGTTGAGTACTGTTGAAATGTGAGCTATTCACAATAATGAAACAGATGAATCATAACAGTGCATGTGTCACTGTGTTTGTTGTTTTTCGGGTACAATGTAATAAATTGTACATTCACAAGTTATGCAGAATGGTAGTGAGTGAGTTGCATAGTCACATCGGTAGCCATATCGTGACTATGAAAGTCGTAACTCTAAATTTGTAAATGTGTACATGAAATAAAAACAAACTTATATACTTACCTGTCTTCGAAGGACAGTAAAATAACTAATCTATCACAAATGTACACTAAAAACTGGCATGTAACCATAAACACTTTACCGGTACAGTATAAAAATGAGCTATAGATTGCCAACACCTGAAGGTTGATCAACATACTAGGGGCTACGGCACGAACAGTACTTTTGCTTCCTGCATTGACCCTAACTGGATTCTGTAAACAGAAATTATCTTGCAAATGTAACAATAAGTAAATATAGTTCCCCAATGGAACAGCACAAAGCTAATTATAAGTTTGCCATTTCATCTAAGCTGAAACCAACAGAAACCTAGCGGAAACCTACATTACCCAGTATCCAATAGGTTTCCGCAATAGCGGAAACAAAGTCATTTCTCTCTTTGAATGTTTCAGCGAACTGAAACTAAATGGAAACGCATAATGATAGTTTCAGTTGTAGAAACTTGACGGAAACCTAGATTTGTTAGTTTCAGTTTTGTAAACTATGCGGAAACTCGCATTGTCTGTTTCCGGATACTGAAACCTAGCGGAAACCTACATTACCCAGTATCCGTTAGGTTTCCGCAAAAACGGAAACTAAGTTATTTTTGCTGTGTAATGCTTTTCATAAACTAGAATCTCATAAACTATTTGTCTCTGGAATCATCTGTGATATGAACTTGTGTAGTGGTTTCTCTAGAAATTATTTAACTTATCTAAAATTAAACATTTAGTCACCTTTTATTGTATATGACCAAATTAATTAGTTACACTATGAAGTTTTTAAGAAGGGGATTCATTTGGGTTCTTTTTGCCCCAGTCCGCCTGTGTGTGGACAATATAACCAATTATCTATTATTAAGTTCATGATATTTCGTGAATACACCAACTGCATAACACCGTCTCTAACCACAAACCCAAACGGGTTGCTCTCTATTCGCTCACAGTCTTAAAACAACATTTCATGGTCTGTTGACTGTTGATTTCGCAATGATAAACCACCTAAACGGTCCGTCCCTTGTGTCAGATGTTAATTAGAGGGTACCATTAAAGAATGTATTCTACTACAATAAGCCTATTATTCCCTGGCAAGGGTTCACTTTTATGACATGTAATAAACCATGGCCAGTCAGTCAGTGGGTCCGGTAAACTGTTATTTAATCAATGATGTAACGTAGGTCTATGTAATTTGTGTTTATGCAAACCGTGACAGGTCAAAAACTATTTGCGCTTTTGTGGATAATAAGTAAACCATACACTTAAAACTGTATTTTGGAAAATGCTAGCCATATCAGGGCAAATATGACAGTTAATGCCAATTTTGACACCTAGAACAACAAGGATGCAGACGAGAGAAGTTATACCAGGAATAATCTACAACATCTTATAGTCTCCCTGGTTATAGTTGATCGCATAGGAGGACGAATACACTCCTAGGAGGACGAATACACAGTCTATACACTCACGGGGATCCTTGGGAAAAGGAGAAACTGAAAGAAGTAGTGGTAAAATCCTTCCTAAATTTTCCAAAGATTTCCAAGCCTTGGAAATATCATCTTTCCAATTTTGGAAATTTTTGGAAATATCATCTTTCCAAATTGGAAATTTTTGGAAATCACCATTTTTTTTCTTGTGGATGTTGTCCTTTGCAATTTGCACATTTGGTGTCTGCTGAGCAATCTGCGATCTCATGTCCGTCTCCACAGCGTTGACAAACAGCAGATCGATTGCATGATTTGGAGCCATGTCCAAATTTTTGGCACTTGAAACATCGGAGTGGATTTGGGACATACACCTCCACTCCGATGTTGACATAACCAGCTTTTATTGATTTGGGTAAGGCAGACAATGAAAAGGTAAACAGATATGTATTTGAGGGAATGATATCACCGTCCCGGGTCTTCACTGTAAAACGTTTGACTGTTGTCACTCCTTGATTTTGTAATTCGTTTGAAATATCTTCTTCAGACATGTCGGACAGGCAACGTGCTCTGTCACGAACAATGCCGCGACAAGTATTTAACGTTTTGTGTGCAAACGCAACAACCTCAGTGTTTACAAATGTTTTCAATGATAACAGGTTTAGAGATTGTTGCTCCCGCAAACACTCAATAAGCAGCGATCCACTACGAAGACGTGTCACGTTCTTTACTTCTCCGCAAATTCCTGAAATTGCTTTCGAAATTGCAAACGGGTTGAGCTTAAGTGGCTGCTTGTCTGCTGCTTCAATGATAATAAATCGAGGCCATGAATCAAGTACAGAAGATACATTGTGATCAGATTCATCTGAATCAACATGACGGCGTTTAGATCTGTTTGAACCAGGGTTTTTCTGAGCCATAGTGGAAATAATGGGATTCAGCATCCCTGCTCCCCACCCACCATGGAGTGCAAAAAGGGCGGTGTTTAATTGCATCGGATCTCCATCATGCAAACACCAGGGATACAGGGATGGTATACTTCAGCAAATATGACGCGAAAAGCTGCGTAAGTTTACCAAATTAAATGTCTGGCTGGTTCGCCCATAACAAGAAACAGGAAACATACAGATTTCGGAGGTCAACATCACCGAATTGGCCCATGAGCCACCGCCTTCTGGCATGAGACTCTAGGCAGATTTAATTTTGATAACGTAAAACGTTAGCCAAGACCAATCAAAACATAGTATATATTCAAAAAATGTATATGCACATAAATCATGCACAGGGCTTGGCATGACCAGCCGATTGGTTGAACCGGGCCCATTCAACCACCCGTCTAGGTGAAGTAAGGGCCGAAGTGGTGTGTTGGGCAATAGGAACACGGTTCCAGGCCCCTACTGCCCTCAACCACCAGGCTACCGTCCTCCACCGACACAGGGGCGCAACCCACGGCAAACGGGTTGGTGGACCAAAATATGCCCCCCGGGTCCACAACGGGGGGTTGAAAGGCGCTTAGCGTGACCCAGCACCCACCACGAGGAGGTGGCCTTTCATGGGTGCCCTGTGACAAAGAAGTAAACCCAAAAGTATCTGAACTCGTTCACAGATGTAGGGCATATTATATGTCCAGACCCCAACAGATCATAGCAGTATCAAGAACATACTGAACACGTATGTCTGCAACATCCTTGTACATCCCAGTCTTATGACTCACTGATAAATTTGTATTTTGTGTTGTTCACAAAAACATATATCTATCTATCTATCTGCCAAGAGTATTATCCGTGTTCAAGGTATTATCAGACAGGTTTGAGCAGTGTTCAAGAAGGTTCAATAACTTTGAAACGGTTATAAACGTTAATTTTAATGAGGGCTCTTCAATACCACAACTTCTTTACTCGCATGCGCACCATAAATATTTGTTGGGTATTATTACGAAGTGGAGGTCCCAAAGTGAGGTATATATGGTTGTCTGTATGATGTAAATTTACCGCTTGATGGTTTACCAAATGCTTTGATGATATTGTCGCTCAACTAATGCCAAAAGAATGTGGGGGGTTGGGGAGTGCTAATACTGGTACAAGAGGGGCAGCCCTAGAAGCCAGGTGCAGAAAAGTAACTTTGCTCGCTGGTAGGCCTGTGTTCACCAGTGTTACTCATAAGCGTTCCCTGTTTTTTCGATCCTGTCCAACACTGAAGCACACGGAACACACGTATTGGCTCCTTGGGCCAACAGCAGTGAATGTGTACCCTGTAAGATGGGATGCTTAAGACTTTTATGACGCCTCACTTGTAACTTGGGTTGTATGCTCCCTCGGCTGAGGATTGGAAACGACACCACACTGATCCACAGACAGGTCAAAATGCACTTTCAGCATGACATTCAGCCAACATATGGATTGGGGATGTAGGAACGGAGTTTGTCCATCTCTCTGTATCCAAATGGCATAACATCATTTGCAGTTTGCAAGCATCTCTCATCACGAAATGAAAATGAAAATTGATTATGACATGATCAACAAATTCATTATCTAGTACTTGAGGACAAACTCTTTTAATAACGTTTTTATTAAGGTCTGAACCACCATCTGTTGACGTAAAAACATAATACATTCTTTATAAAACATGTCCCGAAATTGAATAATGAAATATTAAATTTTTACAAGTTTACAAAGTATAATACTTTGAATGTTAAAATGTCATATCACTTGTCAAGGTGGCGCAAATGTCACCAGCAAATGGCCATGGATATATAAACACGGATGCTATTAGCGCCTTGTTCTCTTTGACATAAAATATATACACAAGACGAGTGAACGCCTTCCTAAAGTGATCCTCTGTAGAGGGTGTTCACTGCCTATGTTAATGAATACACTGTTACCTGTGGTAATGTGTATGGTCAGTGGACAAGAATACAAATCAGACTTACATATCACATCAGTAGACTTTTCAAGCCATCACTTACAGTCAAACAACTTGCCAGTCTATAGTTATTTCCTATACCTTGTTATAATAAGTGGTATATGAAAGAAAGTCCTGACACGATATTCTAAGTTCCCCTCCAAACATCCGTTTAATAATGGTCACAACATCAAACAGCTTGATATTGTGTACGTCTCGAATTCTCGATGATAAGAAGGATTTTTCTATTATCATTTCAAATAACATTAAATATAGTTTGTACGCTTAGTTCACACTGGACTATGTGAGTGGCAAGCCTGTACCACTGAAGATGAAAATCATGTAGTTTCCACTGAATATCGTGACTTGAATCGTAATTATATTGAACTAAACGCGATTCAAACACGTCATAGAAGTGGGTGGGTAGGTACTTGATCTCAGCAGAGGGCATGAAAAGTCGATATATAGAACTGTGGTCGTTATCCATAGAATGAAAACATTGATGAAGAGCGTCAAAGTCCACAACTATATGTGATGAAGATGCGATGCCCAATTTGTAATTGAGGTTAGGAAAGTTAATGCATGACAAATACACCGGACGAAGGTTGAATAGACCACAGCGGGCTTCTGCGTGACATGGGTGAGTGAGTGACTTTGGTTTTCGCCGCTTTTAGTAACATTCCAGCGATATCACGGAGTGAGATACCAGAAATGATCTTCACACGTAGTACCCATGTGGGGAATCGAACCCGGATCTTCAGCGTGACGAGCAAACGCTTTAACCATTAGGCTACCCCACCTCCCCTCATAGCATAGGCGAAAGGCATAACGCTACACCAGATTATATGTAACGGAACAAAAACAACAATAGTTAAATATTATTAATATTAATAGCAGTTCACAAATATACATTGCGTGAAATATCAGGACATATCAGCCACAAAGGAAGGCGGGGTATCCTTGTGGTTAAAGCATTCGGGTTCGATTCCCAACTTGGGTGCAATGTGCGAAGCCCATTTTCCGGTGTCGCCCACGGTGATATTGCTGGAATATTGATAAAAACGGCGGAGAACCAAATTCAATCACTCGCTTTCAGGCACAAATTGTGTGTGTCCACCGGAGGGTACTGACCGCCTCCAGACCATACTCGTAAAAATGTTTATCATTTACCCGAATCAGGAAAGACGGGTAACCAATCAGTGTGGCGTTTTATAATAATGTTTGTCAGATAGATAGAGTGAGTTTAGTTTTACGCCGCACTCAGCAATATTCCAGCTATATGGCGGCGGTCTGTAAATAATCGAGTCTGGACCAGACAATCCAGTGATCAACAGCATGAGCATCGATCTGCGCAATTGGGAACCGATGACATGTGTCAACCAAGTCAGCGAAACTGACCACCCGATCCCGTTAGTCGCCTCTTACGACAAGATAGTCGCCTTTTTATGGCAAGCACATGGGTTGCTGAAGACCTATTCTACCCCGGATCTTCACGGGTCCCAGATAGATAGATAGATAGATCTCAGTTTTCTGGAGAGCAGATGCAATAATTTGACCCGCTTTAAATACATATAATGCATGATTATATTTGATCATGTATTGACAAATGTGAACGTGTCTTGCATGTATGTAAAAGCAGGAGCATATATGACTGATTCATGCAAATTCATAGTTGCGAATCTTAGAAGTCAATGAGTTATATTTTTTTTCACAAAAAAACAATTCTTTTGAATAGTATTTAGTAACATACATTGGACATAATAGACGAACGACAGAGAATAATTACGTTATATTAGTTTTCCAACAAATAGATTATATGTTTCGAAAAACAGCAATGTGCGGCTGCTTCGAGAACATTCAAAACTTTCACTATACTGCTCATCAATAGTTTAGACTCACTTAAAACACTCACTGTATGTTAATATGAATATATGTATGGTTAAATCGAAGATGAATTTCTTCACTAACTTGGGGGAACCAACTGCAAACCTTATGCAGATGAATTGCACGAGGATCATGCATCAAATTGCCGAAAAGCATGTGCAGATATCGTGTATGTGAACAGCTGCGTTTTGGTGTAAAGTGTTGTTAAGAGTTAGCCAAGTTTCACTGAGTTTCATCATTTATTGAACTCATGACAATGATCTTTTCAGTGTTACGAATCTGTTTTGCAATACAGCAGTTCATGAGTAAACAGTACATTTAAACAGTATGGAATATTTTGCAAAGTGTTGTTTACAACAGTTGACTGAAGTAAGTGGCTACATTTACACTACTGAGTCTAAACTTTTGATGGGTAGAATATTTACCATCTGAAGCTATTCTGATGTTCAAAGACCAACACGAACTCCTTGTAGAGGTGCCCTTGTCCTGTCCCAGAACTGACACGCGTAAGTTACGAATGATCCAAACATTTTGTATTAGTTTATATAATAAACACAAGATATCCACTGCTGAACACTGAGCTTATTTAAATGAAATAAATAAAATATGTGATTATAATATGTTAACGATGTCGAAAAGTGTCTGTTCTAGGACAAAAACTGACTTCTGTCATTATGTGATATTGCCACTGATGCTGATAGTCCTCCTATGTTCCTTCACTGATCCAATGTTCCTTCACTGATCCATAAATTCAAAGGCAGAATAGTGATTCATTGTTATTACAAAGTCTCATAAAACGTGTACGTTTACACTTGTTACCAAATTATAACCCACATAAGGCAGAAAAAGGTGTGACTGAAAGAAATATGCAGAGTTAATCAATAACAAAATATTTACAACACACTGTTCAAAGGTGCAAAGGTTTGTGAATCTGTTGACACACGTTGGCGTTATATGTCCGTACATCTCATGCAGCTGATCAAATCCTTGAGTTCACGTCTGAACGCAGGATTCATAAAAGCGTAAATGATAGGATTTGAAACATTATATGCAAAATAAAGGTAAAATACAATGGGATTGAAAGTAACCACTCTGTGCGCCATTAGCCAAGATGGGAGGAATGCCATAATGAAGGCGAGTGTTACCACAAACAACATCAACGCCGTTCTAATATTAGCTAGCCAGTACTTTTCCTTAATGCACCCATCCTTGTCCAGCATTGTCCTTCTACTCTCACTTCTCTTGACAGAACTGCGTGAACTTCCGTTTGCCATTGTTAAGTGAGTGTCGGTCATGGACGTTTCTCTATAAAGAGACAGTTGTGTTTTACGTCTTTGTCTCATCTTTTTAGACCTCCTCTCAAGAACCGATTTGTAGATAAGAATGTATAGTACAAACACCACAATAAACGCAACAAGAAACATCCCAGCATAGACCTTCTGGTACGTTTTTCGAAACTTTGTGGTAAATATCAGTTGGTTTGGTTTGCAAACACCGGAATAGTCAACGAATCGATATAAGAGAACATCAGTGGTGCAATTAACCATGTATTCGAATTTGTCGGTACAGTTGGCGTGTTGTGTTTTGTTAAGACATACATCTGCGTCTTCTGCTATGGTCCAATTTATACTTGTCACGGATGTAAAATTGCGATCGATAATTTGTGCATCATCAATCTTAGATTTGTATTGGTACACGCCATAAGCTAATGCGGTGATAATTCCAAGAATCATTGAAAAAACAATCAACGAAAAAAGTATGAGTTTTGCCCTTCTTGTATCCAACACATGCCAGTGGGGATGGCAAATGCATATATACCTGTCCACTGCAATCGCGACCATGATGAAAGCCGAAAATGGCACATTGGACGTTATCAAAAAGAGATACAATTTGCACAGCAGATCGTACTTGATTTCGTAGTCCAGATATTCAACAGTCATGGTATATGGCATAACAATAATGCAAACACTCAAATCGGTTCCTGCCAAAGAAATGATAAAGATTGTTGAGGGCAGCTTGTTCCTCTTCCTTGTGTACACATACAGAACCACTGCGTTGCCAGTCGTGCCGAGCAGACTGAAGAAGGCGAGCAGTCCCATTATCGTCTCTACTGGCCTCACTGGATACCCGGTCATCACAGGAGATAATGTTTCGTTGCATGCTATAGCTTCCATTTTAGACTCCACTCTTCGTGATCCTCCTTCTGAGATTATCTCACCACGGGATCAGCCTCTGAAAGGGAGACGCGACAGTTAGTAGCATCTTTTTTAAATGTAAACTTAACACGCCACAGCAGAACTGTTATCCAAATAGGACAAGATGATGTATGCTTACTACAGTCTACTACTTCATGTGCGTTTGTTCCATGTAGAGTTTGGGTAACTTCCTTGTACAGGCTGAACTACTACAAAAACTGTTAATGAACCTTCTCAATCAGATTTGGGACAAAGGAATCTCATCTGTCAACTTAGATTTAAGAAGATAATTCGTCTAACTGCTAGATATATTCAACCTGAAACGTGTAAGCAAACCCACATATAGTAACAGATAAGATCTACAATAAGTGTGACAAATTAGGAAGCTATACCCAGAAAATATGGCATATTTAATTGTGAATGAATTGAGTTGAATGGAGTTTTTCAGGTATATCATGGTGTGTCAGCTAGAGGAGGGAGGACAGGTCTCAGCTGTTTACTACCCTGTGGTCAAATAGGAGTGAGTGAGTGAGTGAGAGAATACGTTGAAATTCGACGTCACACCGGCAATATTTCGAGCATATTGTGACGACATAAGGTTCAACGTTGACCAAAAAGGTATGCATACTCTATAAAGGGCAGTACAACAACTACAATGTCAGAGATTATACTTAGAACTAGGTTGAGAGTATGTGAATGAATAACTATCATTCAACAACACAATATGACAACGGTTTATAGATCACCAGTTGGGCCACCACACCAGGAACCACTGAGGACTTCTGCTGTCTGCATGGTTCCCGCGTGATTGTACGCAGTTGCAGCTTTCAATTAAGATAAAACATATAATGTAATTAAAACTGAGGTTGGAATAACATACCTTGAAAAACATGGTGGTGAGATACTCTCGTGGTGGAGGACAATAATTTTACAGTGCTTATTTTGTGCTTCGTTGCTTGCAAATACATTCTCAAGAGGTGTAGTACCACAGAAGACTCCGGGCTGGTGACAGTCAATGATTTACGAAAAAGGACCGATTACCACCAGTCGTCAAGGCTCGTGACTTACAAAATGGAATTCATGAGGGACAGATAATCCGTCCATCATCGTCCCGATGAGTTGTTTTATTACCCACCCTCGTGTTGAAACAAAATAAGCTAAACAAACTTTTTCATTGTTACACTTTATGTGAGAAGCGAACACGTCTTTTGTCATTTTCCTACCCGTGTGAAACGGCACAACACTCTTACCAGATAATGATTCCACGACAGTCTATTGAAAATCATCTATTTCTAGAAATATGAAACAAAATATTCCAAAGTTAAGCATTGAGAATCAATTTATTTTCATTCACTATCAACATTAAGTATTTCAAAGTAGTCAGACAGGTGCAGTAGTCAGACATGTATATAATACCTAAATCAGCTGTATATTTCAAAGGCACTATTTCACACCACACTTCTGTAAAAACATATAATGCATTTTTCTCAACAATAATAACTATCAGTGCTCGGGGAAGCTACCATATAATCCATTCCCAAACAAAATAACCCATCGAACATTATTTCAGCCGAACCCCATATAGTTACGTCCCTTGGAATATCCTATAACTCCTTTGAAAACAGAAATCAGTCCTAGAAAAAAAAAAGACGCTATTTATGGCGCAAGAACATACGCGCAATTTGCAACCAGTTCGGCAAACACCGACAACACCGCGTGCGACAGTTTACGATGCACGGAACAATTGTTTACATTCCATATATGGCAAGTGTTCTCTGTTTGGAAGCTGTTCGAAGTTTCAATTATCGATTTCAGGCAAGTCGTAACGGAAAATAAGTCTTTTATTGCATCAATGGGAAGTTAAAGTGAGTGTGTATGCCCAAATATATAACATATAGGCAAAAATATCTTTGTGTACTAAATTCTTTTTTTTTATAAACGAGTGGATGGTTTTCACCATCGGTTTCAAAATGGATACCCAAACAATGTCCCAGCTACTATATATGTCGAACGAATTGGATTGCAGCATATATTTTTTTGTTATTTTATCAGTGAATTCACAAATAATAAAGAGATAAGATGCTTTTGGAGGCGTTTGGTATTTTCGTATATGTAATTATACTGTTACAAGTAATTATATGTATACAATTTACATAAAATAATCAAGTTCAGTAGACTGGGGTTTTGAATAATATTTTCCCAGTTCTCAGTTGATTTTTATCATTATTTTGGTTACAGAAACTGCTGCTCTATTTTGCCACCAAGGTCAGCTGACCTTGGCGCATGTAAATGCAGCTCAACGTGGTGGTTTCTGTCATGTTTGTTATGAGAGAACGCGAAACCGAAACTGCGAAACCTGCCTCGGAGATGGTTTCGAAGTTTCAGAACCCAGTTTTTGGTTTCGATATAATCGAGTGCAAGGTTTTCCAGAAACTAAAACCAGTTTAGCATAATCGAATAGGCCCTTAGCATCTCATAACTCCTAATGGGAGTGGTTCAATATTTATTGCTTTTTTGTACTTTATCTATTTTATATTGAGGTGAGATTTATGCCTATCTGTCTGTCTTGTGTTGTGCCATCGGACTGTACATGTTGAAAGCTTTGTAATCATACTTCGGAGAACATGTGTACATATAGTCAACAACTGCAACTAGGACTCGCTAAAAAGAACGATAATCGAACATGCTGTGCCTCTGTACAAAGGTGGTAATAAATCAAAGAAAGAGCCGGGCTTTTACCCTGGCATATCACTCTCCCCTGTATTGTCCAAACTGTTTGAGATGGTGCTCCTGTCTCGACTGGACGGACGAAATCAAACTGATACCTTTCCTGACCCACAACAAATGGCATGTCAATCTCAGTTATCTGCCCTTCACACATACTTCAACTTTCATGAGACGATACGCCATTACCACGAGCGGGAGGATACCCATGTGGTGTTCCTGGATACATCAAAGGCCTTCGACATTGTATGGCACAGTGGTCTGGAGTACAACTTTTTCGAGGTTGGAATCAAATGCTCTTTGTGGACTGTTCTTGACGACATGTACACGGGACAGATGTGTCGAGTTTTCCTTGACTCAATGTGTTCTAGGCCTATCCCCACGATGCAGGCCATCAGGCAAGGTGGTGTGCTGTCAGGGAAGTTGTAACTGCTGCACATAGACTCCCATTCTCTTCCCACGGTGGTTACTTGTCATATCTTCCTACGAACCTCTGTTCTAATACGGCCATATTTCCCGGTTCTCGTAAAATCCCCTAGCGGCAAAAGATCGCAACACGAATTATCTCCCTTCTTTCTATCCAATCAGAACACGTGTTACATCGACTTAGATTCAACTTGACTAACACAAGCAAATGTGAGGCAACAAATATCCCCCATCTGCCGGGGACTTGTGTTGATGTTACACACAAGACGTTTAATGGCTAGCTTGTCCGTTGTCAACGAGGGCGATGGAGACGCCACTGATCCGCCATAACATGACTGAGTTCTGTCTAGAAGAAACGTTTGCGCATCGCGCAGGGGAAGAGGTTTAGTTTTCTCGAAGTATACGGAAATTACCGAGGCCTTGCGAATGATCACTTTTGAAACAACGTCGCTGATTGCACAACTAAATCTGATTGCCTCCAGTCACGAGTCTTGAACGCTCACACCATGAAAGGGCCGTATTAGAACAAAGGTTACGTAGGAAGATATGACAGGAGTAACCTCTGTGGGAAGAGAATGATAGACTCCCTGCTTCAGAAACTCTCTGAGGTGAATGTTGGTGCTGTCGTGATGGACTTAAGTGTGTGTTCTCCCACTCAAACAGATGATGTAGCACTCGTTTCAACGATGCTCTCTGCCCTTAGAGAGCCGGATTTCCGGATTTCCGAGGAATACAGCAACGACTACGTGCTCTTGTCCTCCAAGAGTGAAATTGTGATTTTCCGTACCGGTCGAGATCTCAACCCCTGAAGCAGGTTGAAGTCAGGTTGTATAACCAACCTCTCTCGTGGGAGGAAGGAATTAACCCTTGAATAGTCTTGTCAAGCAACATGCTAAGCAAAGAGCATGTGACGCAAGCTGTCATTTCCTTGGAGTCCGGTGTGAGATCACTGACAGCTCGTGGGTTCCACCCACGGTTTACAAACCCAATCATCAGCCTGACAAATCAATGCAAGACCTGCCTCGTACCAGTCGCACTGATAGTTGTCTTGGTCTCCATGGAGTGTTGCCTCTAGAGGCAGTTACAGGTCAGCGGAAGTTGTGTCTCCTGGTGGTTTCTTGCATATGGATCACAGGTATCTGACTCACAAACTGTTCATATGCCGGCGGATGTGCTACTTACACGACGTCTCAACATCATCATGTGTATATGTGTCTGATGTAGTCAGGGTGCTCAAGAAGTACCTAATCTATTGTCACTTGAAAAAAATGTCAACAATCAGGGTCCTTCTTAGGGCGTTCGAAATGGAGGAGAATAGTGAAGACGTCAGTCAGAGAGTATCATGTGGCACAATGGAGCAGTCGGTTGGCAGATGACCATGGTTTTCACAAGTTCCAGCGGATACATCGCCAGCTTGAAGTCCATCCTGCATGGACGGTACCGTGTCATTGCTTGACGCATCACTCAGACGGCAACTTTATCATCAAAGACTGCGCTACAGTGGGAGACCTATGTGAAGCAGGACTGTATCATCGGTGTGGGTTGATGTATAATGACCCCCTGACTCACGCCGTAGTTGTGTGTGGGACACAGATGCAGCTCGGGACGAACTGTAGATAAGCCTCATCAATGTTGGGCCAATTGAATTCAGTGTGAAACGTCACAACATGAACCCAGCTGAACTTATTGAGTGCTTGTTGTGGTGTACAACTGACTTTCCCCTGATCAAAGGGGGCATGATTGCTTTTCCACTCTGTGCATAAAATACATCACCATGATGTACAAATCCGTGTTCCAGTGACCCATTGTGACTTAATCGTTTGGCTGATCAAGAAAACGTGATATCGGCTCTAATATGCATAAAAGTCAAAATCCTGAAATAAGTGCATAAGTGTTGTCTTCTGTTTCTGTACTCTTCAGTGTGGAGGAATAAAAGATTATATATGGCAAGTGTGTTCTGTTTGGAAGCTGTTCACCTCGAAGTTTGAATAATCGGTTTTTAGGCAGGTCGTAAGGATAATAAGTCTTTTATTGCATCAATAGGAAACTAAAGAGAGTGCATATGCCTATAGTATACGCAAAAATATTGTCGAAAATGTGAGAAATTGTGCCTGTACTTGCATATATTTATTTATTATAACGTTTATCGTTTTACACGATACTATTTTATCTTTGTGTACATTTTACTGAACTTAGTCCCTGATAACTTCTTATGGAGTGGCTCAACGTTTATTACTTTTTTGTACTGTATCTATTTTATATTGAGGTGGGATTTTAATAAACAATCTGTCTGTCTGTCTGTGTTGTGCGAACAGACTGTCCATGTTGGGAGCTTTGTAATCACACTTCGGAGAACATGTGTACAAATAGTCAGCAATTGCAACTAGGACTGGCTAAAAGATCGATAATCGGACATATTGTCAAAGTGTCAAATTTAACATCGCATCGGCATGACTTTAGACGTAGTGCGACTATTGTTGAAGGGGTAAATTATGAATGATTATCAATATGAACATTGCGTTATCGATAATCCCGATCATAAAGTTTTAATTATCTCACTCAATATGCAAACACAGGTCTCTATTCCACATTATGTTCAGGACATGTGTTATGTTAGTAATCCTTGCATAAATAATTCACCACTCACCAGCGATGTGAAATACGTTGATTTTTGTCAATAGACGTTTTTGGCATATTTGCTCAAAGTTACTTCTACGATATTTATCAATAATCGATCGATCTCTATGATATATATCGATAGCAAGCCCTGGTGCTACTTGCATCTGTCTCTCCCGTTACCACACACACATTGTTCACACATCGAAAAACTTGTCCTGTTCAACAGTAAATAATTACATATACAGTTGATGATAGTAAGATGGGGGTTCTGCCCCACATGAACGATGGAGCCGAGCTAATTATAGAAACACATCATGACAAGGTGTGGTGCAATACACGGGCTATGTATAGTACAGGGAATCCCTACGCTAAATATAGCGAGAGAGGCGCTAGCTCCGAAATTTGACCGTGATTGTTTCATCTTGTCTGACGTTGGAAGTGAGAAAGCTTAGGCTAAATATAATGACAAGCTATGAATGCGATAGCTCTTTATAAATCTTCATAGGTACTGATTTGATGTTCTTACAAGACACGCACGACTATAAGAAAATGAATGTTATTGTAAACTCCACTGAGAGAGAAAATGGGTCAAACATAGCGAGACGCTGACTCGCTTCAGACGCCTATTGTAAACAAACCCTAATGGATCAGTCATAGCCTTACACAGATGCTTGTAAAGCCAGGTGGTTATTGTTAGAAATGTAAAACCTAGTCTAAAGATTGTAAGAAAGGTTATACATTGAGATCATGGGTAGGAAGGGAATAATACGGATTTTCTCAATAGCTTTCTCCAAGGGTTATACAGGTGATCGTTAACTCTCAACTACTGTAAGTAAAATGGGGTCGCTGTTTCAAACACTCGCTACCTTTCTTGATGACAGATCGTGTATACTGGATAAGAATATTTAAATCAAAGCAACTATATATATACCATTCTGTAACGGTGTGCGTGATCCAGTTCTGTTTGTATGGGATTCTATCTTTAGCAGACTGGGTGTGCAGGTTGAAACATGAGTAGACTATGTGAAGAGTGATGTTTTCACCTAAGCAGTTATCTCCCTTCCCTGTTTACTTTCTATGCGATAACTAATGTTCACTTATGCTGGTTGCATGGTTTCAATATAAACCGGTCGATAGCGTTGGCGGGTTATTCAAACTGCTGTCAGCACGGGGTAAGGATTGCGCTATTGTAGGCTAAAATACGTTATTGTAAAAGTTAAACTATAAGTCACGCCGTTGTATATAGTAAACAGTATTTAACACACTACCTCTTGTATTACAGAATGTCAGAAAAACAAAGGTTTCTGGACAGAGTGGATTCTTTGTCTGATTTAGAGAAATGGGCTGCAGAGAATGGATTGATACATGATGCTGATGTGATTTTAAAACGTTTTGAACTGCTTGCAAATAACATAACGCACGGTGAAAATGTAACACCCTCTCAAGCACAGCACACTTGTCATACATGCGCGAAGACATTCACACAAAAGAGAAATCTTCGCCATGTTCACAACAATGAGAGATATAACTGTGAGCAATGTGGAAAATGTTATTCCCGCCTGGATGCACTTCAAAGTCACAAATGTGAAAGTGCTCTGAAGAGGAAGGGAAGTGAAACAGCTACAGAAACCTCGGCAAAACGCCCTTGTCTGCAGCCGAAGAGTGACAGCAACATTCCAGCCAGATATGCCATTTGTAATTGGTGTGGCCATCATAAGTGTTTATTGCCAAATAAGCTATTCTGCATGAGTTGTTCGCGTTCAGCTCGTGAGTGCATGAGTTGTCACCGGCCACTCCCTGAGCGCTTCTACAGTGAGCGTGTGGACCAGTGCGACAGCTGTGTGAGGAGACGCCAACGTTATGAAGCAAGGCAGGTAAACCAGACTGGAGGAGGTCAGAGCTCAGCACTGGAAGGATCGCTGAGGACAACAACAATACTCCCCAACGAGTCAAATAATGTTGACATTCTGCAGTTTCTTGCCGATGAACAGTTTAATGTTGAAACAATTTTGCATGATTTCCTTCACGAGAAAAAAGGTATGAAATGGTTTTTAACACTAAAATTAAAGTTTATCAAATATGATGAAAACAATGAAAGTCATTTGGCTGAACCTGTTTTGAGAAGCAAACATTTTTGGATGACTAACCTTGCAGAAATCAATGAGCAGTTAGCTGAGGCTTTTCAGCATTTGTATGCTTCATCTCAAGAGTTTCAGGCTGAGGGGAGTGGGTGGATATTAGAGGGCATCATACAACTTGAGGTGAATACAGCTGAGTATGTTCCTCTGTCAGCAAGTTCATACATTCCTCTCTCCAAGTATTTGGCAGATAAGAAAGCTTTAATGAATATCCATAACAATGACCAAAAATGTTTCATGTGGTCGGTATTGGCTGCCTTGCACCCTTTAGATAGAAAGCAACATCCTGAGAGAGTTGGTAAATACCTTTCATTTCTATCAGAGTTGAATCTTCAAGGCATTGATTTTCCCATACCACTGTCACATATCCCAAAATTTGAGAATCAAAACCAGATCTCGGTAAATGTCTATGGGTATGAAGAGCAAGTCTTTCCTCTCCATATCAGCAAACAAAAGTTTGACAAAACAGTGGATTTACTGCTGCTTTCTGAGGGAGAGAAAAGACATTTTTGTCTAATCAGAAACTTTAGTCGTCTCATGGGAGATAGAACAAAACATAAGGCAGCAGCATTTTATTGCAGAAGATGTCTCCATGGGTTTAGCAGACAGGATTTGTTAAAAGATCATTCCCTCTACTGCTCTGAACATAACCCTCAGAAGGTCAAATTGCCAAATGAATATAACAAATGGATTCGATTTGAATCTATTCAAAACCAGTTGAAGGTACCGTTTGTCATATATGCTGATTTTGAAGCTTTGACTAGAAAGGTAAATGACAAATCAAGAAATACAAGCCTTCATCAAAAGCATGAGCCTTCCGGGTATTGTTATAAAGTCATCAGTTCAAATCCTGAACTTACCAAACCCTCAGTCGTCTACCGGGGCCCTGATGTCATTTCCCATTTCATTGAGGCTTTATTACAAGAAGAGAAAGCCATCAATGAAAAATTACAAAAGTCCTTTCCTATCGATATGACAAAAGAAACAGAACTGAAATTTCAAATGGCGAACATCTGTCATATATGTGAGGAACCTTTTCATTCATCATCTATCAAAGTGCGCGACCATGATCATTTGGTAGAAAGAAATAACTATCGTGGTGCTGCACATCAGAATTGTAATCTTCAACTGAAGTTGAAAAAAAGTAAGAGCAAGGGAAAGAAAATGGACCAGGGTAAAATGACTGAGGGAAAGGATTGCTTCATACCCATTATATTCCACAACCTCCGAGGTTATGATTCTCATTTATTGATGAGGCAACTGGACAACACTGTGAAACAAAAACTCTGCTGCTTAGCCAACAACATTGAGAAATACATTTCCTTCTCCATTGGAAAGTTGCGATTCATTGATTCTCTCCAGTTTCTTTCGAATTCATTGGATACTTTGGTTAAAAATTTGGTGAAGAAAGACCCATCCCAGTTCATTCATTTAAGACAGGAATTTCCAAACTCTTCTCAGGTGGACCTGTTACTGAAAAAAGGGGTGTATCCTTATGGCCATATGGATGATGAGTCCAAATTTGAACTGACCCGACTTCCCAAACAAACAGACTTTTTTAGTAGGTTAACTGGGAATTCTCTCTCTGACGAGGATTATACACACGCAAAAAATGTATGGTCCGCATTTGAATTACAAAACATGGGGGAATATCACGACCTCTATGTGAAAACAGATGTGTTACTTTTAGCAGATGTCTTTGAAAGTTTTAGAACTATGGCACTTGAGTACTATCATTTAGATCCAGCTCATTACTACACTCTCCCTGGCATGGGTTGGGATGCCATGCTAAAAATGGGGAAGGTAGAGCTTGAACGTTTGACTGATATTGATCAAATTCTCATGCTGGAATCTGGAATGAGGGGTGGTATTAGCATGATATCTAAGAAACACAGCCTTTCAAACCTACCAGGACAAGAGGATTACAAACCAGATGAAGCAAACAAACATTTGATATACTGGGATGCTAACAATCTCTATGGGTGGGCAATGTCTCAGGCGCTACCTGAGCGAGATTTTGAGTGGGTAGAGGATGTTGATGATTTAGACATCATGGGTGTGGCGCCCAATGCTGACATAGGGTATATCTTGGAGGTGGATTTAGAATATCCCTCCCATTTGCATGATGCACACAGTGACTATCCGCTAGCCCCTGAATCTATGATAGTAACTGAGGACATGCTCTCTGAACATTCTCGGGAATTGAAAAAGAACTTAAAGATCAAGGGGAAACCAAGCAGAAAGCTGGTCCCCAATTTGTTCAACAAGCAGAAGTATGTCTTACATTATAGAAATCTACAGTTTTATCTAAGTCACGGTATGGTGCTCAGTAAAATTCATAGAGCTATTCAGTTCAAGCAGACATCATGGCTCGAACCATTCATTACTTTTAATACTGAGAAACGAAGAGAGTCTACAAATAAAACTGACAAAGCCTTTTTCAAACTGATGAATAATTCCTGTTTTGGCCGCAGCATGATGAATGTTCGAAAGCATGTGAGTGTAGAACTTGTCAATACTGCCAAACGTCTGAGAAAGCTCTGTGCCAAGCCCACTTTTGAAGCATTCAAAATTTTCAACCCTGATTTGGCTGCAGTTCACTTGAAGAAAGACACTTTGTTTCTAAATCAACCAGTTTACGCTGGGTTTTCCATATTAGATTTATCCAAAGTACACATGTACAATTTTCACTACAATTTCATTAAACCAAACTATGGTCAAAAAGCTCAGCTGTGCTTCACAGACACAGACTCGCCATGCTATGAAATTGAAACCCCTGATTTGTATGCTGACATGGGAAGACATTCAGATCTGTTTGACACCAGTAATTATGCAAAGGATCACCCTCTCTTCTCACAAAAGAACGAAAACGTGTTAGGAAAATTCAAAGATGAATTACAAGGGAAGAATTTACTTGAGTTTCTTGGTCTTAGGCCCAAAATGTATTCCATGTTTTATAAAGAAACGGAAACAAAAACAGTTAAAGTGGAGAAAGTTATAATAGTGCATGATATTGAGAAAAAGACAGCCAAAGGCATTACTGAAACTGTGAGAGACAAACATCTTCGTCATGCCCTGTACAAACAGTGTCTGTTTGACCAGAAACAATTCAGACATGAGGTGGGTCAGATTCAGAGTAAGAACCATCAGCTGTACACTGCCTCCATCAACAAAATTAGCCTCTCACCGTTTGATGACAAACGATATGTTCTAACAGATGGTATTTCCACTCTTGCCCATGGTCACTGTAGAATCAAATCTCAGTAAACCATTTCATACCCTTTTTCTCAGATGGGAATGTCTGTGTCTATGTGTTACAAGCAGAACATAGATTTGTCAACAAAGCTAACTTTAACTGGAGAATGTAAATATGGGATGCAAGTTTGAACAACAAGTGTAAGATTGTCATATTTGCTCATGTACAGTTTGATTATATAGAATATATTTTGTGTTTTAAAATATTGGCATAATGACCGTGTAAAGGCAAACAAGCATTTGTATCTGTTTTCATGTTATAACCATCTTCATGTGAATAAATACTTGTATGAATCCATGTCCATTGACCATTTTGATTTATGATGTAAATAGCTTGCATAAGAAGGTTGGCTTTGAACATCTCATGATTATCATGTTGTGTTATTCATGAAATAAAATGTGTTGACTTAACTCTGCGAGTTGTGTTTTATCTTTGAGGAACAAATTTTCTTAGTATCAAGTGAAGCTCATTGGTGACGGAACATATAAATCAACCATATACTGTTATTTACATCCTTTATTATATATGTTCATGACTATACATGGTATAAGGTTATACATACACATAACTACAGTGTGCATACAAGTAATACAACAGAGACATCATATATTTCTATAATACATAGATGCAAATTTGTGTAAAGAGTTCACAGTTCATCATCATCTGTATCATCATGCTCAGACATGTCAACAAGTTCTAAATCTTCAGCCTGGCTCAAGTCCACATGAGAGAGAATATCTTTTACGATAGGTTTCATCCACTGAGTGATTTTAGCATCCATTTCTTTGGGGTCCATGTCAGGGTCCATGGCTGTGATTTTCTCCAATATAGGCTTGAAGAGGGGTCCATATCCAAAATAGCTGGCTTAACTAACGGCTATCGCAAGTCTATCAAGAAAGGTAGTTTGCCAGCATTTCCGCAGTTTCTTCTCAACCCATCGTTCACTCTTTCTTTTATCCTGAAAGTCCTCCTTTTCTTCCAGATGTCCTCCTTACAAGCTTTCAAAGTTTGTTCCAACATGTATTCAATGCCTTTCACTTCTCTCTCTTGATCAACTTCAGTACCTGTCTCTACTATCATTCTTACTGTATCATCAGCTGCATCCACCTTAGCTCGCTTCTGAAGAGGCTCCCCACCATTTTCCGGGCACCAGGTCCTCACATGACGTTGAAGGTCATGGTTGTTTTCAAATACAATACCACACTCGTCACAGGAGGGCATGTTTTCGTCTTCTGAGGCCACAGTGTTCTCAACCAGCTTGGAGATGTTATCTATCTGAGTGTCTGGAGTCAAATGATTAGGTGGTTCAGGTTGCTCCTCTTTAATAGATGTGCTCCCTGCCTCCATGTGTCTTGATTCTGGTGGGGGACTTGGTAGGTCTTTTACTATCCTTGAGGCCGAGGGTACGTCAGCATTAGTTAGTATATTAGGTTGTAATCTCTCTAATTCAAGAGTGGTAGGTCGTAGATCAACAGTCAGACTGCCATAGAGTTTTTGCACAGCTGTCTCATAGACTGACATAAACCTATCTACATTGTTGGGGTAGATACGTCTGGCAAACAATTGAACTTGTAATCTATCTACAGGTGAGTTGAATAGAGTCACATAGTGAGAATTCAGAGCTATGTCACGTGACTGTTTCCCTCGTGGAAACAGATTTTGTACTAGTAGGAAGATAATGACATTCTTATGATGAGAGGTTCGAGTAAATAGCTGAGAAATGCGTTTGTCATCCTTAGCTTCAGACATCATGTCATCCAACACCATCATGTTGTTATTTCTGGCATCCAAGTAGGTATCATCGAGTACATCGTAGGGAATTCCTTTCACAAACTTCACATGGGGCAACTGTTCACTGATCACCTGGTACAGGGGCTGCCATTGGGTGTAGCACCAGACAATGTGATTAGGTGCTGGCTGTATACTTCCATGCGTGAGAAGGTTGTAGACAAACATCGATTTGCCACTGCCAGTAGGGCCCACAACAACTGCATTAGAGGGGATTGTAAACTTGAAATGTTCTTTATCATTGAATTGATTGTGGTTTCGCTGTTGCTTATACATTGAGTTATGCGGCAGGGGTGGTAATTGCGGCGGCGATGGTAATTGTGTCTGCGGCGGCGGCGGTGGTAATTGCGTCTGTGTCTGTGGCAGCGGCGGCGGCGGTAATTGTGTCTGCGGCGGCGGGGGTAATTGCGTCCGCGGCAGCGGATTTTCATTATCATTAATGTGCTTATGTCTCCTGTGTCTCAGCATAACATCCTTCCTTGAAAACCGTGTCTGACAATCTGGACATGTTGCTTCCATGGTGGTTCTGTATCCAAGTGAGAAGTGCATCAGATCTATCGTTATTTATATACCCTGGAGGTCCTGCTCTGGGATCCAACTGTTGAATTTCTTAGGATAACCCATCCATTTAACATACACCTCTTTTCTACCAGCTCTCTTTCTCTTCTTCAAGACTTTCTCTACACGCCATATGGTGTCTGCAGACTTATAGACTTTCTGAAGTTCACTCGCATAAAATGTACCTGTGATTGGATCCTCAGCCATGTCCTTGACTTTATAGACTGGTATCCCATCCCTGTAGTATCGTCTGCTAACAAGAAAGATTTCCTCCGTCCATTTCTCCTGATAGTCACGTTGAAAGACATGTCTCAAATGTGACAGTCGCACCTGATCCCCTACTTTGAATTTAAAGGCTTTTCTTGTGGTTTCATTCATCTTCTCTGCTTTGGGTTTGCCTTGTTTGATCAGTGGGTTAATGTACTGTTCATTCCAAACAACAGATTCATTGTTTGCGTTGATATCAATGGGTGAACGTTGATTCAGCGACCTATGAGGTCTCTGGTTATAATCATTCACCAAGTCTTGCAAAACATCAATATAATGGTATAATTGTTTGTAAGTAAAGTATCTGTACATAGTCGCCTTAAGGGTTCGTATGACTCTCTCGGCATAAGATGCTTTGGTTTCATTCTGAGTGACATAGTAGGTAATACCCTTGTTTGCTAAATATGATCTCACTTTCTTGTTATCAAATTCCCGACCTTTGTCGGATCTGATAATGTGTGGAAGAGTAGCACGAGCAAATATCTTCTTCATGGCCTTAAGGACTGCATCTGGTGTTTTATTTTTAAGGGGTTCCGCCCATAGAAATCGTGTAAATACATTGATAGCTATCAATAAGTATTTCACACCGTCATTATCTGAAGCTATATTTGAAACATCGGCCAAATCAATATCCCACCGATCGTTCAAACCAGTTGAGATCACTCTGTTCCGCTTGAACTTGTATCTAAGAGGTCGCTGAAGTGAATAAACATCTATAGAAGCGAGCCACTTCTTGATGTGATGTAAGCTGATGTCAAATTTCCCTTCCTTTTTCACCACGTGATATAACTTAGTTGAACCCGAGAAGGAGGCTGGGTGTTTGGGATTAAAGTAAATGCTGGACAAATACTCTTTCCATCCTTCCACGGGCATGGTTGTAGGAGAAATGATATAAAAATAAATTGCATATGTTTTAATAAGAAACCATGTTTCATTCAGAAGCGATCGGTTTACACAGGCTATGACTGGCCGACTGTGTGACCTTGTTTCGATCTCACCGTACGCCGCGAGCAGTACTGTTGTGTAAGGTCTGTAACGGTTTGTTTACACAGGTGACTCTACCTCGTCTCGCTGTATGTGTGAGCTAGTTCTTCTCACCGTTGCATTCCACTTAATACATACTTGGTATGAAAAGATGTATGAAGTTGTTCAATGTATAGACTTTCCCATTAATTGTACACTGGAATATAACAGTCCATACGTTGATATCTCTTTTAAGATGTTAAGTACTGCCTCCAACAACTTGCGAGTCAGTTTTCCTGTTTAGATACATACAATCACATTCGGTCTATGACAATCTCACTACCACCCAGACTGTATCGTTATTCTAATTTACAAACAAGCCCTGTCTCCGTGCTTGAATATGGTCATTAAACAATAAATTATGGATGAATGCTGGATTACAAGTCGGCTCCCTAATCCTAGTCACAAGCCAGCTCTCGCTATCTTTAGACTGGGGGAATTTCATTTCTAAAAATAGCCGCGTGTATTGCACCACACCTTGTCATGATGTGTTTCTATAATTAGCTCGGCTCCATCGTTCATGTGGGGCAGAACCCTCATCTTACTATCATCATACAGTCATACAGCAAGCATCTTCATTCCAACATGATAGACATTGCATAATATGAATGTGAAAACAATTCATTTATGGTTATTTTGAATTAAGCTTGTTTTTGCAATTAGTTTTATGTTATACTGTCGTGAAATGTTTCAGATCCTACTGTAATTCTTGCAAATGTAACGTCACCACAGTCATGCTGATGAAGATATATTTGTCTGTACCTTTAACATAGTACGCCGTTTATATAATAGAAATACCCTTTGTTATTATAGTTCATTTTGCGTAGCGACTAGTGTGTGGTACAACCAGCTAAACGGAATATGCAGGTGCACTACAATGATTAGTGAAGTTAGGGGCATGAAACTATCCAGCGTATATTCATTGTCCAGTTAAAAGGGCGCAGCCAAATGAGAATCAAACAGGGTTAGAACCACACTCTGAGTGAAATCTACAATGTGTACGAACGTATTATATTAACACGATTCTGATCATCATAACCACTTCGATGTGACTGCATCAGATAATAAGGAAAGGGGTTTTGGGCAGAAAATGATATGGAAATTGATTGAGTCCATTTTAACCCTCTTGGTGCCACGGTATCGCATATTGTCCCAGGAAAATGAACCCTTTCAACTGCGAATATGTCAGTATTAATACGACAGCAATCATCACCCATCATCTCCACTTTAACACAGGGTCACTCATAATTAATGCAGTGTGTTGTGTCGACTTAGCACGGTGCCAGTGGCAAAATGTCAGGGCAGATTGTGGTTCTGAAGGGGATGGGACAGAAAATATTCAAGTCTTGTATATGGAAAGGCAGTTTGAACAAATAATATTGATGTGCTACTGGTAACGTTAAGATGCAGACGCTTCAGGACAAACACATG